AGATCCTTAATAACATGACACCAGAGAGTGTTGATTTGGTCACTCTGAAATTTGAATCTTACTTAAATAAGGTGGATGGAATAGAATCTGCCTGTGTGAAAATGCTTCTAAGTTCTAGGGTCAGTTTGATCAAACTTAAAATCAAAGAACCAATTTTTTAAAACATTAATCCAGTTGACTTTTCGCTTCATGCTTGCGTTATCAATTATCCTGCCGTCTCGAATTGCTAAAACCAGAAAATTAAGTTTCTTGAGTTCGGTTGTATCCTAGCATCTTAGAGCATAGAATCGAAGCGAGAGTAGTCACTTGACTCACTTCCAAAGAGTTCCATAATCAGGTTGTCATCTTAACATTCATAAAAACAAAAAACATGAAATTTACAATTATTTTTAATATAATATAGCCCTTCTTTGGTGGAGATTAAAATCAGTTTTTTAGTAGATTTTGATAAAAGTTGATGAAATGTATGGTTAAAAAATAGTGGGCCCATGAAATGTGTGGTTAAAATTAATTATTGATTTTGATTTAGATTAAAATTTGGATTTTAATTTTCACCAAACATGGGCGTAATATAAAATACACGTGTCAAGTACCATGAGAAAAACCAGAGGAAACAGGAGTTGTTTTAAAGACAGATGGATTGATGTGGCAACTTTGTCCCACTCTAGATTGCTCAGTCGTGGGGACATCCCTCAAAATAATGTATACAGACTGAATTCAAGCATATTGTTCAAGGTAAAGAGGAAAAGGGGGGAAAAAATCTTACTTAGATAAAGATATTTTGTTCGTCTTGCAATGTGATGCTTTTTAGGTTTCAGATGTTTGTCAATTATAGCCCACTTGGTTTCCATCTGCAAGTTGTAATTGTAACTTAGAAGTAACAATGAGTGGAGAAAGCTTGTTAAGTAGAAATAGCAGGAAATAATTATTTCCTTCTTTGAAGCAATTTTAACCGGACAGTGCATATTTAATAAAGGCTGGTAAGGATTCTTGCCTCCTGAGCTGCATCTGGAATCTAAGATACGAAGTCATAGAGCTGGGAGCATTAGAACAAGAGCTAACGGGACAAAATGGCATGTAGCTTGTTGGATGCACGTACTTGAGTGTTGGGGTCCAACAAGATATGACACGTGTTGGACACAGACACCACGCTCTAATAGGAGTGGCCAAGTATCATAGTTGTTGAGTTTTTGCACTCTTAGGTGGATTTTGGACAGAGAAA